AATAGAAGAGGAGGAACACTTCCCACCTCATTCTATGACAGCAGTATTACCCTGATACCAAAACGAGACAAAGACATCACAAAAAGAGAAAACTGTAAACCAATATTCCTTATGAATATAGATATAAAAACCTTTAACAAAATATTAGCGAATATGATTTAGCAATATGAAAAAGAATTGTACACCATGACCAAGTGGGGTTTATGTCAGGCTGGTTTAATATTCAAAAGATGCAAGGCAGGTTCAATATTTGAAAATCAATTAATGTAATAAACCACATTAACAGAGCAAGGGGGAAAAAAACTACATGATCTTTTCAGTTAATGAAAAAGGCCTTTAACAGAGTCCAATGCCCTTTCATGATAAAAACACTCAGAAAACTTAGAAGGGAGCTCTCTCAAGCTGCTAAAGAGCATGTATCATACTTAATAGTGCAAGACTGGGTGCTTTCCCCCTAAGAACAGGAAAAGGACGAGTATATCTGCTCTTGCCACTCCTCCCTGGAGGTTCTAGCCAAGGAAATTGGGCAAGAAAATGAAATAGCAATATAGCTACTACCAATAGTATCTCCATTTGAGGAAACTAAAGTATAAAGAGAATAACTCGCCCAAAGTCACTTAATTGTGTGTTCGAGCCCAGGATCTGAACACAGGCCGTCAGGCCCCATGGCCTTTACTCTTAACCATTTTGCTATAATGTCTCTACAGGTCTTGTCCAGAAGACTTAGAGATTTTCATAAAAGCCCCAAAGCAGCTATGGATTTCTGGGTTACACAGGCATAAGGTTTATAGTCTATTGTCCTTTCACTTACATAAACTAATAGTTTATGATGTTCAAACCTATGCTTCTTACCAATTCTTATCTGTTTTCCTCCAAACAAATTTGGAGTATTTGTATAGCACATGTAATCAGTTTCCGGTAACAAGAGATCCTGCAGGTTTCCTAGGCTAGGTCAACAGACATAAGGTGAGGTTTACTGGTGAAAGAAACTGGTGGTCCAGGTGTCCCTTTGAGGGGCAGGGAGAAGACGAACCTGTGGTCAAAGCAAATAGTAACTCTCCCTAGAACAGCATTCTATCTTCTTGGGAGAAGAATGGAAAAGGACTTACATCTCAACAAGTGACAGTTCTGCTCATAGGGGAACTGGGAGGACGCCTGTGCAAGGCAGACTCTTCTTTAAAAAGTAATTTGGAGTGGCTGTCACCAAGACACATGGGCAAGAGTGGCCCTGGTATTCTATACCATATACTATGGTCACAATAATTTGAGCCTGAAAAAAATGTAAATGTAGCATAATCTAAGTCCCCAGTCTGGAGTTACAGCCCAGGGAGCCCCCAGCTCAGCTCCCTTCACGGGCCACCAGTAGTAATTTATGCAGACATATTTTTTCCTAATTAGGTCATACTATACATAATGTTTATAACCTGCTTTTTTTTTTTGCTTTATATCAGAAATGTTATTATTTTAGTTTCTTCAATAGTAGCACTTTTAAGATATATCTTAATGTTTAAATTGTTTCCAGTTTTTCTCTTTTGTAAATAGTATTGCTGTGAATGGACATTCTTATAGCAATATCTTTTGACACATCAATGATTATTAAGATCTTAGGACACGGTCTTGGATGTGGAATTGTTGGATCAAAGGTACGCACGTTCTTAAGTGTGATAGGAAACTCGCTGGAAAGTTTTAAGCAGAGGAATAATGTGGATTGATTTGGATTTTTAGAAGATCAGACTGGGTGCTGTAAGCAGTATGGATTGTAGAAGGCGAGGGTGGAAACAGGAAGGCCGGTCGTACAGGCAGAAGGTGAGTGACTGTGACTTGCACTCAGATGGAGGCAGTGTGGATGGGTTCTGAAAGGGTTTTGGCAGAGAGGCAACAGGATTGATGGTTTAGATATGAGTGTTTAAGGAAAGAGAAGACTCAGAGTGACTACCAGGTTTTGTTCAACTGAGTGGATATGGTGCCATTTGCAGAGATGCAGAAGGCTGGAGGAGGAACAGGTCTGAGGATAAAGTGGGGTTGGGCCTTAAGAGTTCTGTTTTGGGGCCGGCTCCGTGGCTTGGCGGTTAAGTGCATGCGCTGTGATGCTGGCGGCCCGGGTTCGGATCCCGGGCGCGCCCCGAGGCACCACTTCTCCGTCCAACCCGAGGCAGAGTCCCATGTACAGCAACTAGAGGGATGTGAACCTATGACATACAACTATCTACTGGGGCTTTGCGGGGAAAAAAATGAATAAATAAAATCTTTAAAAAAAAAAAAAAAAGAGTTCTGTTTTGGCTGCATGCTTGTTAATGCCTATTAGAAGTCCATGTTGAAATACTGAGTAGGCAGTTGGATATCAGAGTTGGAGCTCAGGGATGAGGTCAGAGCTGGAGGTAAATTCTTTGGAGTCATCTGAGTAAAAATGGTGTTGAGAGCTGTGGGATTAGATGTGATCCTTTAGGAAAAGCATTTAGCTAGAGAAAGCTTAGGATCGAGTCCAACATCATTTCAATATTCAGAAGTGTAGCAGGGGATGAGTCAGTAGAGGAGACTGAGAAGTAGTTAGTGTGATCAGAATAAAAATCAGGAGGGTATGGTAGACAGAATAATGGCCCCCAAAGATGTCCACATTCTAATGTGGACTATGAATGAGTTAGGTTATATGACAAAGGAGAGTTAAAGTTGCAGATGAAATTAAGGTTGCTAATCAGCTGACCTTAAAATAGGAAGATTATCCCGGATTATCTGAGTGGGCCCAATGTATCACAAGGATCCTTAAAAGAAGAGGGAGACGCGACTACAGAAAAACGGTCAGAAATGCGAGACTATGAAAATGGACAAAGAAGGCCTTCTAGATGCTGGAAAAGACAAGGAAACAGATTCTCCTTTAGATCTTCTAGAAAGGAACACAGCCCTGCTGACACCATAGTTTTAGCTATGAGACCTGTGTTGGACTTCTGTTCTACAAAACTGTAAGATACTAGATTTATATTGTTTTAAGCCACTAAGTTTGTGGTAATTTGTTACAGCAGCAAATAGGAAACTATTACAGAGAGTATTGTTTTCCAAACACAAAGAAAAGAACATATATTGAGGAGAGACTGGGCCACTGGGCTGTATACTGCTGAGAGTTTGAGTATGGTGGCAATAGAAAAGCAACCACTGAATTTAGCACCATGGAGAAGACTGGTGACCTTGGAGGAGCAGTGTTAGTGGAGTGGTAGGGTCAGAAGCTCAACTGAGAGAGAATGGGAGGTGAAGGAGCAGAGACAGTGAGTGTGAACACCTGTTTCAAGGGGTTTAGCTGTTTAAAGTCTTGGAGAAATGAGAACATAACTTAAGGGGGAATGCAAGGTCTAGTAAGGGCTTGTGTGAACACTAGAGCACGTGTGTGTGTGCGCGCGCACGTGCGTGCGTGCACACAAGGACAGGGAAGGACAAAATTGATGATATAGGAGAGAGACAATTGCAGGAGAGAAGTCCTTGAGTGAGTGTGAGGAGATGGGATCCAGTGTGTGAGGCGAAGAGCTAGCCTTAGGAGCAGGGTCAGTGCATCCACTATAACCGGTAACAGGAGACAAGGAAGAATGTGTAGGCACAGGGGCAGGTGGGCTGATAAATTTGGTGGTAAGAAAAGGACTTTCCATTACTGACTTCCCATTACTGCATTGTAGGGTCAACGGGAGGGTAACAATTCACACAAAGTGCCTAATACTACACCTGACACACAATAACATTCTGGATTAGGTCTTAATGCTTAGAATAGCATTCAAAGCCCTCCTTGCAATGTACCTTTGCAGGCTTATATTCTACTACTTCAATGCACATATACCCTATACTCCAGTCAACTAAACTATACATTTGGCCCCAAACATGCTCAAGTTACCCCAGCTGTTCCCTTTACCAGGAATGCCCTTCTTTCTCTTCTCTGCCCGATAAAATTCTGCCCATCTTTCAAAATGCAACATAAACACCATCTCTGGCATGAAACTTTCTGTGATTCTCTCAGTTAGATCAAATCTATTTTTCATTCCTATAGCAGTCATTCTGAAACAGTGTGTCTAACTGAAAGATTGTCACAAGTAACTTTTTCTACCAAAGAAGCACAATTTTAATCAAAACAGACGAAAACTTATTCCTATGACTAAGGCTTTCTTACTCATATTTCTACAGGCTTTCTTGAGTAGGAGAAAGCAGAAAGCACAAGTGGAGCCAGCATACTGAGAATCTGTAAACTGTAGCTGCTTATCTATGCCTGAAAGAGCCATGGAATTGGAAGTATTTTATCTCTCAAGCAAAACTATGAAGTTTCATCATAATTTTTGAGAGGATCGTGCACATGAACATCCATCTATGTGTCTTCACTGATAAAATATTCGGAACCACTATTTTATAGTGCACTGTATCTAAGAAACCTATCAGGGCCAGCCCCGTGGCTTGGCGGTTAATTGCGCGTGCTCCGCTGCTGCCGGGCGGGGTTTGGATCCCAGGCAGGCACCGATGCACTGCTTCTCCGGCCATGCTGAGGCCGTGTCCCACATACAGCAACTAGAAGGATGTGCAGCTATGACATACAACTATCTACGGGGGATTTGGGGGAAAAAATTAAATAAATAAAAATTATAAAAAAAAGAAACCTATCAGAGCATCCTTGATCTTCGTTGTTCACAGGTTTCTCTGAGCTACCACTTCATGTAAATGTCATCTCATTCACACTGACTGTCTTATCCATCTTTGTATCTCTTAATACCCAGTCCAATGTTTACACATGGTAAGGTCTCAACAAATGTTTGCTCAACAAATGAATGAATGACGGGATCTTTCGGAGAAGTCCTGTTTAGAATTTTCAGCATTAATTATTTAAATAATAATAAAAAAAAAATCCGCAACTTTAATGTCCACAGTTTAAAATCAGACTGTATCCAAAGCTTCAAGTGAGACTGGAAACAAGTTGACAAGAAGGACCCCAGTAACAATGATAGCAAAATACATTTATCAATATTGATGGTATTTACCCAGTTCATCTTGACAGAAGCTGCCTGGAGGATTGATATACTTCATGGTGCTCACGTCTAACTTCCAGTTGTGTTTTGTGCACCTAACAGACCTGGATGAAAAATTATACTTAGGTTTATGAAAACACAAAAATAAAAATTAATCTTATTAGGCTAAAATGCATTATCTTTGTGACAAAATTATATTAGTTGGTTGAACACAAAATACAGGAAAGGAAAACTGTTAATAGCTGATATTCAAATATCCAAGGAAATATAGACTAATCATCAGTAGGTGGTTTAAAAAATGAAGATAAACTCCACGTCATAAAATGACAGGTGTTAGAGATGAACAGAGCCACCAGAAGAAAGTGGTCTTCAGGGATGGTTCTCTTATAAAAGCTAAGCTAGATAAGATCTAATTGGGGCGAATACAAGGAAATAATGTAGTAGTAGTAAATACAGGTCTATGATTTACAATCACTCTACAACAATGACCCCTAGTACAGTGTACTAAATCTAAGTTCAACTAAAGTTTTTGTTTTTCAAAGAGAGAAGATTTCCTTCAAGTTTAATATTTCAGAGCATGTTGCCAGGTAAATGCAGGATGCTCAGTTAAATATGAATTTCAGATAAATAACAATTTTTAAATATGTCTCACACAATGTTTGAAATAGACCAAAAATTTGTTATTTATCTGTAATTCAAATTTAACTGAGTGTTCTTCATTTTTATTTAGTAACTCTGGCAACTCTGTTTCAAAATAAGAATCAGACTGTAACAAAACAAGATTACTTAGTAATTTTTCTCTTTTCCATTTCTTATCAGAGGCAATTGGTGGTTGGAGATGAGGCATAAACAGTTCCATGTCTTCTCTTTATTTTGGTAGTGTTTCTAGAGAAGCTTTTTTTAACAGTTAAATAATTTTTTTTACGAACAAGTATGTCTCAAACCAGAAATATCAGATTTTTTAAACTAAAAATGTCTATTTTAACATATAAGAGAACTATGTTGATTTTTTCCAAGCCTCATTATATCTAGAATTTTTATGTTCTTTTTCAGTAATAAGGCAAAAAGCATATTTCACATTTCAATTTATGGAGGATTATTTTGTGACATCTTTCTCATCGATGAGTAGCCAACAACCTTTCAAAAATTAAGAGAACATTAGAAATGCAGCTTTTCAGCATGCTTAGCCATTAAAGGGGAAACTATCACAAGACCATAAAGGTTCATGAATGGCAGCTAGACAGGAGGGAGGCAACAGCTTCACGTGCAAGATAGGTTGTGAAAAATTGTTAGACTTAAAAAAAGAGAACCACAGCTTATAAGAGTTGCTGATCTTTTTCACATGTGAAGAAAGAAACCAACTGACATGGGTAGAACAGGTAGGTCATTGTTCTTGACTATATCCTGGAAAAGAGAGATTTTTCAGGTGAAATGCTACACAGAGAACCCATGTAGAAGCAACTGAATTTGGAGAGATGGATAGGGGAGTGTAGTGTGTGAGTTACTTTGGGGATGCAGTTTCAACATATAAATGCTTGGCAAGCTGCATCTGGCAATAAGGCTGGGAGAATCTGGTTCCTTCTGTGCAGGAGAGCTGAGAGAGTGCTGGCTCCAAGTTAGCCTGTCAACAGGATAGGGTGAAACTGGGATCAATCATCCCCAAGGCTTTGGATGAAGAAGAGAAAGGCCAGTCTGTGGTAAAGCAATCACTATGTTAAGAAGCATTATGTTAAGATCCAAGAACCATCTGAGTTCCCGTAAATAACCTCTGTTCCTAAATTACACAATAAATGTATATCAGAGTAATAATAACAGTAAACATAATTAACGTTTACTGAGTGCTTATCTTATAGCAGAGTTCTTACAAGTGCTTTGTATTTGAAATCACTTAATCCTCTCAGCAACTGACGAAGTAGGTAATACTTTCATCTTCATTTTATAGAGGAGAGGATTAAGGCCTGGAAAGCCCTTGTCCAAGGTCACTGAGCTGGGAAGCAGTGGGGCCAGGCTTCTAAACTAGGCAGTCAATGAAGAAACACCATGCTCTTAATTACTAAGCTGTAACATCCCCTTTAAATGGCTGGCTAAGTGCGCACTGTGTCAAACAGCCCATCAGAGAGAGAAAAACAGTCTCAAAACTACAATAGTTACCCTGCCCCCTGGACCAGAGTGGCATGGGGGCAGGCCATCAACTGTATGTATTAAAAATGACTGTATCGAATAAACGTTTATCGATTATTCCCCCCCAAAAAAACCCTGCAATTGTTAGAAAACCTCAACGTCCATGAGTGCTTGCAAAAGTTTACTAGTGACAGAATTACCAATGTCTGATGTTTCTCTAATTTGAATCCACTGAGAAGATGGAAGGGAATCAAAACAAGACTGTCAGCAAATTACCAAGAGGTTCTTCTAGAGTAGAGCTGTCAGCTAAAAGTATGTCCCATGCAATTCTGGGACATATTTATACTAAAAATATATTTGTTGTTTATCTGAAATGCAAGTTTAACTGGGCATCTTCTATTTTTAGTGGCCAAATTTAGCAACCCTATCTGAGGAGCCAAGAAAGCTACAGACACTACAGTGGTTAACGTTTAAAAATCTAATAATGTGTGGGCTAGGCCCTGAAACTAAGTGTGCAGAGACGTAAACCTGTCTCTAGGTGTGAGAACATTCTAGATTTGAGTGACTTCTTCTATACAATTACAGTGGGGAGCTCTTGGACAACTACCCAGCTCCCTCTGAGTACACTAGCACTAAACTGCCCACAAATGACCTGAGAAATAAGATTGACAACACAGTGGAAGAAAAAAGCCCAACAGGAGATGACTAAAACTACACAGGTCAAGTTAGGCTGAAGCAAAGCTTAACAGATGGAGTCTACAGCTCATGCATTGCTGGTGCTGAGAATCAGGCTGACAAAGCACGACCCCACCCAGACTTCTCCCTGGTCGTGCCAGACAGTGCTGCTATCTCTTTGCCAGTCACTGAAAACGAAACTAAATAATCCTGTCATGGTGTTGCTCCTGCACAGGGGAGGTGATCTATATGCAGCTTTAATCAAGGGGTGAGGGCGGGGGGATGCCAGCACTAGTTCTTCCGAGAAATGCTCAGAAGAGCCACTGTTCGGAGAAAGTACGATTGGGTCTCTGCCTTGTTTATTTTTTAACCACAGCTAGGCTGCCAGGGAAATTCTACCTGCTCTCCAGCAGAATTAGGAAATGTGCCCCCCTCAACACACGCACACTTCTAGGACAGAGGGAAAGGAAACAAAAGCAGGTAAAGGCACACCTAGACACTCACACACACACAAAGGCACACGTACCCTGGTAGTTTTACTGTTTCTCAAGCTAGGGATAAATTTTAGAGTTCTTATGAGAGAGAGGGAAACTAAGTGAAGGTCATAAAATTTTGATTTCAGAGAGATGCCCTCTGTGAGCACAAGCAAAAGTGATGAATTGACTAGGGGAAATAATTTGTTGAAATTGTTTAAAATTTCTAAATGAGCACATTTCCCGCCCCCAAATCTAATTGTAAGAAGGGTCACCATGAGAAAGCAAAGGACACTTGGTACCTTCCATCTAAATCCTCGATATCTTTTATGAACAGGCCTCCTTGATGCTTGCACATATTCTTGCATGCTCTCAGGCGGCTCTTGTTCTTATATAAGATGTAATCTTTGCCAGTCTTCTTATTTCGAAGAAAATTGATTCCTTCCTTGAGATTGGCAACTTCAGCAGGTGACAGATGCAACAGGATCTCAGTTGTTTGTTCGATGCTATGAAAAGGCAAACGTCGTGAGAGGAAAGATTAATGACATTAAGGTTTTAAGAGATACCCATTTGGAACTGACAGCTCAAAAACCTTCTTATGAAAATACTTTTAAAGCCCCTGCCTCCAAATACCCAGGCTTGGTGGCTACCTGATGGTGCACTTTCTCCCGTCTTTTAAACGTACATTCTACTTACTGAATGTCCATCTCGGCTTTCCCCCAAGAACTAACGCCCTTCTCACTTGCCTGCCCATAGTCTGCTGTTGCTTCTCCCTGAGTATTTCAAAAGAATGGCTGTTGACCTTTAAGCATCCGTTGCTCAATCGCCCCCACAAGCTGAGAGGATGTGAACGCACTTCACTCTCATTTTTGCTGATATGGGCTTCCTTCCCCCACCACGGTCCCTTTAGAGCCTAACTCTATATTCAGTTCCAAAAACCCGCTCTGCTCTGTCCCACCCCCATGATTTTGCATCTGGACTTACTTCTTCTCTTGTCACCACTCAGGGTCACGCTTTTTCTTCAAATATAACTCAGTCATCCCTTCCTTGGTTAAGCCTTTGAAGCTACGCCCCAGGTCAAGTCCAGCACTTCTTCATGTGCATTATGAACCATTCTCAAGAATATTTTAACTAGTACCTGGCACGCTACCCTGTTTATTTACGTGCAGATGCTTTTTACAACACTCTGTGTCTTCTCTACTTTTCTCTCCCCAAAATTAGCAGGCTGCCTATCATGTGATGCCTTGACTAGCTAGCTACTTCACAAATTACCCCTCCCACTGCACTCAATTTGAATAATTTATAAATAACTCCAGCAGCAAGTGAAGCATTTGATCTTTCATATTTTTTCAAGGAAACCACAGGCGTTACACTTCTCAAACTCCAAATTCGAAACAAACTCTCTTTATGATGGAATATAATTTTTGCCAAGAGCGATTTCAAAATATCTCTTTGCATATCCATGGTATGAAATCTGGGTGCATATTGTTTAATTTTACATTCCACTCCAAACCAAAGTGGTCAAAAGTCTCTTCGTGTGTTAAATTAAAATTGATTTGGAGCTCAGGTACATTTGGGGCATTTTTCTTTTATTTGTAGAAGTACTGCAAATTTCTCAAACAGGGAATAAAAATAATTTTAAAAACACACCAGGATAGGAAATAACAGGGAAGGTACTTCCAAGTTTAAACTGAAGAGGCATAGCTCTATAATTGAGCACGTTACACTTCTTCAAAGCAGATTCTCATTGTCACTCTTGTCACAAACTCCTGGTAATTCTCTTCACAACAGACTTGAAATGTTTCCAAAAAATTTTAAATGTATTTGATAGAAAGGAATCCATTCTAAGCCTCATGAATTTCTTTTTTTTGTGTGTGTGTGAGGAAGATCAGCCCTGAGCTAAAATCCATGCTAATCCTCCTCTTTTTGCTGAGGAAGACCTGCTGTGAGCTAACATCTATTGCCAATCCTCCTCCTTTTTCTCCCCAAAGCCCTAGTAGATAGTTGTACATCATAGTTGCACATCCTTCTAGTTACTGTATGTGGGATGCGGCCTCAGCATGGCCGAAGAAGCGGTGCGTCGGTGCGCGCCCGGGATCTGAACCTGGGCCGCCAGCAGCAGAGCGCGCGCGCTTAACCGCTAAGCCAACGGGCCGGCTCATGAATTGCTTTTAACTTTGTTCCTATGAGTACAAAAATCTGACACCAAGCCAAAGTAAGCACTGAGGCAGTTCCTAGAACAATTATTCTAAAAGTGTAACAAAGAAAACCTCTCAAAATATTTTGTTTTATTTGATCGCATAAACCACTTAGCCCAACTTCTGCGTTAGATTCCAAGCCTTCCACACACCATATAAAGCAAGTTGAACTAACAATGTATGTCTCCATTTACCAGTTCCATGAGAAGTCATATAGGAACCTAAAGCAAAAGAAAAGCGAGCACTCCTATGTACAGGCTTTTATGTTTTTTTTAAATGGTTAGTTTTTCCTAAAGATAGATTGTAAAGACATTATTGATGAATTTGATTCCAATAAAATCAGAAAAATAAGATTAGAGTAAATTCTGGTTTTGGTATTGTGGGAGATCAAGATTTGGCCACCCTGAAATATATCTCTTTACCTTGATTGTTTTCTCTGAGGGACATTTGACCTCCCCCACTATCTGCCTAAAGAATTTGACATAGCAACTCCTTCCTGGAACAGATCTTCTATCTGATGGCTGTAATATAATGTAAAATAGATGTTAC